GTAGTAGTAGTAGTAGTAGTAGTAGTAGTAGTGGACGCGATAGCAGTAGCAATAGTAGTAGTAGAATCTTCGGTTGAAATTTGTCAAAAAACTTTGATTTGAAAGAAGAAATAATTTTCTACTGATATAATCACGAAAAATAAGAATAAAAATTAATAGTTTAACAATTAACAATGAGAATGCTAATGAAGTTTATTATTAAGTTCGTAACCTTAGGCATGATGAAGGACAAGGATTAATTGCAAAGTCCAAGGCAGCTAAAACTAATTGTGATGATAAACAAAACAACGAGCCAGTTGTAAACAAAAACAAACACACACGCATTTATTTCCTTGTGAGTTTATTTGAAGTTTTAAAATTTTCTTACTTGAGGTTTAGGGGAATGTTAATAATTTGTTCATATTTTTAATCATTCATATATATATATATATATATATAATATATATATATATATATATATATATATATTTGTACTCTTATTTATTTTTAGCGTGTTAAAATATATTTAAGAATATTCTGCTGAATGATAGAAGCGTTTTAGGGCACATAATTTGGCGTTCATACAAGTTTATTTGAGTTTTTGAAATTTTTTTTTTGTAAAATGATTAGGATAAATTATTTTCTTACTTTAGGTTTGGTTATGAATTTCGAAATTATGAATTTATTTCATTAATACAAAATTTTCGTATTCATGTTATCATTTTAGCATAAATTGTTGCTTTGAAGCAACACACACAACAGCCATGTCAAGCCAAACACACACGATAATTCATATTTTCAACGATTTTCTTTCATTTGAGAATTAACCTTAATGGTACGTTCTACAAATTTTTAATTTTCATTTTGTTATTTATATATCACCAACAGTACTACTGTACTTAACAAGTGCAACAACAGAACTTACCTCATCATCTTCATCTTCTTCATCATTCTCATCTTCTTCATCATCCTCACCGTCATCTTCTTCCCTCTCATCTGAAAATGAATTTTGCAGCAACGGATATTGCTTCAGTTATGAGGAAGGCCGAATTGGTGACCTTTCGTCTGGTCAAGCCTACTGCCGATCAAAAGGTAGATCAATTCTTGAGATCCGCACACCTGAACTTCAAAAATCATTCTTCCAAATCACACAAAACTTAAAGTTCCCTTATCCGTTTGGGTTTTACTGGCTGAATATTTACAGAATAAATGACAAATTGTATTGGGCATCTGACGGTTCCGAAGTAAAGACTACATACTTCTCAGAAGCCAACAACGTGACATTGAATGCTGGCACGTTGGCTGCCGATATTTATTGCACTAGTTCTGATAAGAAATGCACCTGGAGGGAGAGGTTTTCTAGGGCCTTCTGCAATTACTTCATTTGTTATAATAGAAGTTTGTGGAGAATTTTATTTGAATTATTATCGAATTCTAAATTTAGTTTTTAATAATAACCTATTAAATGTATATTCATTGAAATTTTTTAATAAATCCAAAAATGACCAAAATAGATGACAATAACCCAGGAAAAATAATTTTTTAAACTATTTTCCAACAGCCACTATTTCTCGAACGTCAACTCCTACGTCCCACTTTCACGGGGAATACTGCACAAACGGGTACTGCTTCAGCTACGAGAAAGGTCGGAACGGCGATTTAAAATCCGGACAGGCCTTCTGCAACTCCCACAACAAATCCCTTCTGGAAATAAGATCCAAAATCATTCAGGAAGACTTCCACGACATCCTACAAATCCTTATCCCGGGATTTACATACGGACTTTTTGGTCTAAACGCATACAGAGTGAATGATAAACTCTTCTGGGCGTCAGATAACTCACCAGTAACGAAGTACTACTTCCAAGATGAAAGTAAGAATACTGTTACTAGCAGAGCCACTGGGG